CTCACAACCCCCTCCCCGACACTGAGTTTCCTGCCTCCCTCTTTTCTCTTGTAAGGACCCTTGTGATGACATTGGTAATAATGTAGCCCAGGTAATCCGGGATCATCTCCCTATCTCAAGACCCTTAATCACATCTGCAAAGTCCTTCTGCCATGTAAGGTGACATATTCACAGATCCTGGGATTGGGACATCTTTGGAGCCATCATTCTGCCAGCCATACCTAGTTCCAGGCTTGCATTGCACTTGGTGACTAAGTTGGCTCAAACTCGGCTCACTGAGTAAGAAAGGGGTAACTGATCCACGCCTGTAATCCCAGCACTTTGGGAGGCTGAGGTGGGTGGATCACGACGAGGTCAGGAGATCAAGACCAACCTGGCTAACACCGTGAAACCCCATCTCTACTAAAAATACAAAAAATTAGCTGGGTGTGGTGGTGTGCGCCTGTAATCCCAGCTACTTGGGAAGCTGAGGCAAAAGAATCCCTTGAACCAGGGAGGCAGAGGTTGCAGTGAGCCTCAGTTGCACCACTGCACTCCAGCCTGGACGACAGAGCGAGACTCCATCTCAAAAAAAAAAAAGGAAAGGGGTAACTGATCTTTCATCCAGCAGGAAAGAGTATAACATTGCATGCTCGTATAAAACCCAGTAATGACTGCCCATGCCTGCCCTAAAGCATCCCCTCTTCTCTGATTTGTACACAGGATCCCAGCCAGGCCACAGAGACAACAGGCAGCAGCGTCAGTTGCACAGAGGAGAAAAAGCAAAGCAAGTCACAGCAACTGAAAAAGATTTTTCAAGAGTATGGCACTGTCGGCGTGTCGCTGCACATTGGAATCTCATTAATCTCCTTGGGCATATTTTACATGGTTGTGTCAAGGTAAGATTTTTGACAGTAATTAATATTTGTTTTTACCGTCATGTAAGATTCTAGGTGAATAAGAACGTGTTTGCTAAGACTTTTTTTTAGAGACAGGGTCTCACTCTGCTGCCCAGGCTGGAGTGCAGTGGCACGATCACAGCTTACTGCAGTCTCGACCTCCCTGGACTCAAGTGATCCTCCCACCTCAGCCTCCCAAGTAGCTGAGACTACAGGCATGCACCACTGCACCCAGCTGATTTTATGGGGTTTTTGTTGTTGTTGTTGTTGTTTTCTGAGACGGAGTCTCGCTCTGTTGCCAGGCTGGAATGCAGTGGCGCTATCTATCTCAGCTCACTGCAAGCTCCGCCTCCTGGGGTCAAGTGATTCTCCTGCCTCAGCCTCCCAAGTAGCTGGAACTACAGTCGCACACCACCAAGCCCAGCTGATTTTTGTCTTTTTAGTAGAGCCAGGGTTTCACCATATTGGCCAGGATGGTCTCAATCTTTTGATCTCATGATCCACGCCCCCCGGCCACCCAAAGTGCTGGGATTACAGGCATGAGCCACCGCGCCAGGCCGATTTTATGTTTTTTGTTGTTGTTGTTGAGACAGGGGTCTTGCTATGTTGCCCAGACTGGTCTTGAACTCCGGAGCTCAAGTGATCCTCCCATCTCGGCCTCCCAAAGTGCTAGGATTACAGGCCTGAGCCACTGCACCTGGACACTAAGACTTTTATTCATTCAGCTACTTCATTACATTTTTAAAAATACTGTAAATCTTATAATCAAACCAATTTCTTCGTTTAATCCTTTGCCGTAACAATTGTTTTCTTTGCTTCTTCCCCCCTAGTGGTGTGGACATGTCTGCAGTCCTGCTGAAACTCGGATTTAAAGAGTCCCTGGTACAGTCAAAAATGGCAGCAGGCACAAGTACCTTTGTGGTGGCCTATGCAATCCACAAGCTGTTTGCGCCAGTGAGAATCAGCATGACGCTAGTCTCTGTGCCCTTGATTGTCAGATATTTTCGAAAAGTGGGATTTTTTAAACCTCCAGCTGCAAAACCTTAATGAACTCTTCAGTCGTACACACTGAAAACCTATTTCTTCTAAATTACACAGTTTGGATTGGTTTTAGGGTTGTAGGGTTTCTTTTGGAGAGGCAAGGGGCTAATTGCTATGTTCTCATGGATAAACGTTGCCAGCAAAAATTAGGCTTTTGAACAATTTTAAATTTTTGCCTCATAAATTTTGTGAATGCTATTCATTATAGGGCTTGTATATATAATCTAAAATGTCAGCAAGACATCACAGATGGGTTAACATCTCAAAACAAAATAGCCTACAAATGTTCCTTGTGGGAGATTTTGGCGAGGGTCTGTCTGTAAAAGCTCCAGGGGGTTAATCTTGGCTCAGTTTCCTAAAAAGCAATGATTAATTTAACTGGCTTTTAAATACCCTCTTCCGCTGATATTTGTTGTCAGCTGCCTACAGTTTAATATGCAGTGTTCTGCAAAACAGCTGCCAGTGCTACGATTAATGAAGCAAAACTTAATACGTAATCACAATCTAAATTAGCATCAATACTTTGACATTCATTACATTTGTTTTTGGGGGAAGAAGAGTACTTCTGGTATGTTTCATTGATCCCCAAACACCTTCCAATCTGGACATGATGGGGCTGATTCCAGATGGTTTTTCTGAAATTTCATTAAAGTAGGTCAGCGTCATTTGTCTCTGTTTAGGTAAAATATGAAAACTCTGCCCAGTAGCAGGGGCATCGCTTGGTTCCTGATGCCCATGTTCCAGAGGAATTTGGATACCACACATAAACAGCTAAGACAATCTTAGCTTTCCTTAGACAATCTTTATCTCAAACTTCAGACATTCCAGAATTGTCATGATGTTTACACTGTCTCATTGAGTTAAAAATCCTGTTCAAGAAAAAAAAAACATTTTGTATCACTTCCTAAAAAGGAATATTCGTGGCACTTGTCACAAATGGAAGGCAACTATGAGATAATACAAGCCAGGGAGGATCTTGTATTACACGGCAGGTGTAATTAGTCTACTGAGCCAGCTTTACCCAATGAAGGGCATGTATGTTAGAGAGATTAGCTAACAGTAGAAATTCAAGCATAGAGGCAGTGGTTTACGCCTGTAATCCCAGCACTTTGGGAGGTGGAGGCAGGCGGGTCACTTGAGGCCAGGAGTTCGAGACCAGCCTGACCAACATGGTGAAACCCCGTCTCTACTATAAATACAAAAGTTAGTCGGGCATGGTGGCACACGCCTGTAGTCCCAGCTAGTGGGGAGGCTGAGGCAGAATTGTTTGAACCCAGGAGGTGGAGGTTGCAGTGAGCCAAGATCACACCACTGCACTCCAGCCTGGGTGACAGAGGGAGACTCTGTCTCCAAAAGAAAGAAAGAAATCCAAGCGTAGATCCAAACTGAGACACTGAGACTTCCTCCTTACAGTAGTCAGGAGCAGGCGATTGAAGTAATTCTGTCCTGTGGGGTTCGGCATCATGCACGTTCCCCCTGGGCCGTTCTCTGATGCAGAGCACTTGCTCCACATTCCGGGAACCCAGATTAACCAGTCTGCCCTGTCACATAGTTGAAGGAGTTGCATTTATCTTTCTGGCTCCCAATTCCTTTAAAATTACATTTGTTGCAGAACTTCCACAAGGCTAAATAAAATTACATTTGTGACCATCAGAGAACTGAAGGAACTATTAACTGGCTGTCCTGGTTTTGCTGAGATCAGGCTGTTGACAGTTCCTGGTTGGCCCACACCTACCCATGTCAGTTATCTCCACTAACATTTCCAAGAATCTTTGTAGGACAGTTTCTCCACCTGCAAGGTCTTTCAAGTAGAACTCTTCTTTCCTTTAAGGCAATTAGCCCATTGCCAAAAGGTTTTACTGTCTTAAAGCTGGAACTGTCTGAGATCTAATTCCAAGGACTTCTCCACAGCTAAGTGAGATGCCTCACACCAGTATTAGATGATTCTTTGTGTGGACAGAACAGAGCATTTTCATCTTGTATTTAAAGCAATTTGTTGGCTTCGGCTCACCACTTTCTGTACTAGTTTCCCATTCACGTCCCTAGTAATACCTATGCAAAAAAAAAATGAAAAAGCTGATGATGAAACCTACAGGTTTAAGGGCTTCAATCTCAAACTTTGTGTTAGGAGTAACAGGAGTGTGCTGAGAGGGCAAGCAATAAAACAAGTCATACCAAAAAGCCACATTGCTCTCTCCTAAGCCCCAACCCCACTCCACTCCTGTGGCCGGTGGTCCAAACAGAAAATAACTGAGGACGAGGAGGTCAAAGGATCAGGGAACTAAGCATTATGTGAATTCACCAGCAAGATGTACAGAACACTTGTGTTTACATTGTTTTTATGGAAGTAGAATAAAACTGATCTATTTTAAAAATGAAAGCCATTGTTTCTCTAATTTATCTGACAAACTGAGCAGCTTAAATTCTGTGAAACATCTTTATGAACTTTTTAATATTCCTTCTGGTAAGCCATGGTTGTTGATGAAGTGGCACTGTGACCAGTGTATTAATGTGCTACTCCAATGAGCTTTTCTTTGCTTGTATGGGATTGTCTGCGGAAACATCCCAAGTCTCACTGGTAACACTGGGGAAGTTAGTCACGTGGTAGTAACTATAGCTTGGGAGGGTGGCACAAGAACTATTTGGGAATGTCAAAGTCAGTTCAGCTCAAGACTGTGAGAACCAGAAGCTCCTTTGTCCCAAGAGGGCTGGCAACTGCAATTTTACTCAGTCGTGTTTTTAAGTTTCTCTATGTTGGCCACTTTGTTACGATATATCCTGATATACCTGCTGTCCAGTTTCTTGCACTGAGCATTGGCCGTGCAAGCAGATTTCTCTACTAGCTCTAAATTCAGCACTTCTACTTTTCCTTCATCACGGTCACTTTCACTGTATCTTTAGTCGATGGACAGACGGCAAATATATAAACACTATATATAACAAAGTATTAGGCGTACGCCCAACAGGAGATACCAGAAGAGGCAGGACTAGAAGAGGGCGAGACCTGCTCCTCTCTGCCCCTGCTCATTTCCAGGCCAACAATGAACAGATGGTGGAAAGAATTACACAGTACTCCACGCAGACATAGATACTTATTTATTTGCATATTTAAAGTTTACACACATGCCATGACTCCAATGTTTTAAAAAAAAATAAGCCCTTAACAGCTCTGAGACACATGGCCTCTTCTGTATCCCAAGCAAGTCTCTAAATGGAGGTAGAGCACATGTTCCTATTTTACACACTCTCATATGGGAGATAAGTGGTTAAGGAGGACTAGAAACCCAATCAGGCCTACCAGGGTGCTGGACAGACACAGAGCATTCCTAAGGGAATGCCACCAGAGAAAAAATACACGTCTGTACAAATATCTTTATTTTTATACTTAAAAAGAATCACATACTCATTCCAACAGCTTTACCAGGCGTGGCCAACCCAATAAGTTACACACTCACTCAGGGACTTAGAAGGTTATTGCACAGCTCCTTAACTGATCGGGTCAGGCAAAGTGGTCACTTTCCCCACAGCCAGACTCTGGATTTGCCTCCTGTGGGGACACCATGCCTGGCACAGGCTGACGGGGCGGCTGCAGTCGAACCTTGCCTCCAGATTATGAATCAGTGTAAGTAGCACAATTCTCGTGGCTACTTTCACTGCAAAGTGTCATGTTTATTGATGTGGAGCTTTCTGAATAGGGAGGTTAAGGCACACCTGCTCAGTAAAACAAGTATTTCTTGTAGCGTTCTAGATTGAGGGCAGCAGACAATGGTAAAATAAACTTCAGTAGCATGTTCCTGACAAGTTATACAGCAGCCCTGGCTCAAGGATTTCTCCCCCTGCATGATTCCTAAGACTGTTTGCTCGTTGACTCTTTGTTTTGGCAATTTGATGGTTTTGATGAATTTGCTGTGATCCAGGGGTGTTCAAGTACTTCTCTGAGCATTGGCCTCTGGCTGGGATTGTGCTTCAACAGTCTTGAAATGAGGTCCCTGGCTCCCTCTGTTACAAAATCAGGGAATGTGAATTCAACCTGGAGTACAACAAATGATAAAACATCACAACACACAGGTTAGAGAGATCAAACAGTACAGATATTCAGGTCTTGGCCTGAAGTTCAGGCTCATCAGGAAAGAATTCCAGCAGACGCGCTGGGTCCTTTTCAGTTGCATCTTACCCGGGATATTCTTCTATAGGTCTCTTGGTATGTGTTTGCCTCAAAAGGAGGCTTCCCAACTAAAAACTCATAGCAAAGAACTCCAAGGCTCCAGAGATCCACCTTCTCATCATGCATCCGACCTTCAATCATTTCAGGGGGCAGGTAGTCCAGGGTGCCACAGAGAGTGGTCCTCCTAAAAAGAGGGAGGCTCAGGTTGATGTGCTTCTGGTTTTATGATCACAACAGCTGCTAAAATCATTGAAGATTCCACTAACACTGAAGACTTCCCCTGGGCCAGATCCTATACCCTACGAAGTAGCTACTATTATAAATTCCCATAGGAAACAGATGAAGGGAGGTGTGTAAGGTCACACAGCTAGCCACCAAGCTTAACCCCAAATCTGTCCAACTCCAGAACCTCCCTGAATGATCTAGAATGTAAGAAATTGAATGTATCACTACCATATAAAAGTTGCCATGCAGAGTTCTCTGCAAATACGATTTGGAGTTCTACATCTGCATGAGGATATTACAGATATGCTAAGAATCTTAAGAGCCTGGTCACAATGACAAGACACTAGAAACTGTCCTGTTATAATAGCACTGGGGTGGAGATGTAGATACATGCTGCCTTGTGATAGATCCTTGGTATGAGAGAGGCTGAAATTTTGAGGGTGGCCTATGAAGTACTCTTGCCAAAAATATTTAACTTGGCCAGGCGCGGTGGCTCACGCCTGTAATCCCAGCACTTTGGGAGGCCGAGGTGGGGGCTCACGAGGTCAGGAGATAGAGACCATCCTGGCTAACATGGTGAAACCCCGTATCTACTAAAAATACAAAAAATTAGCTGGACGTGGTGGCATGCGCCTATAGTCCCAGCTACTTAGGAGGCTGAGGTAGGAGAATGGTGTGAACCCGGGAGGCAGAGCTTGCAGTGAGCCAAGATCGCACCACTGCACTCCAGCCTGGGCGACACAGCGAGACTCCGTCTCAAAAAAAAAAAAATTTTTTTAACTTGACTCTCTTCAGGCCCTGAGACCTCCATTCCAGTTTTCAGCAAATACGGGGAATAAAGGTCCAAGTTAAGTGGCAACACAATCAGAAAAGTCCTCTTTAAAGTGGGAGACTGGTCTGGCTTAAGACCACAGAGACAATCCAATACAAAGCATGGGCCTTGGTTGAGTTCTGATTTTACAAACCAGCTATAAGATGTCATAGACAATAGGAGAAATTTGAACGTGGACTAAATATTAGATACTGACAATGCTGTTAATTTTTTTAGGAGTGATCATGGTTCTAAGTATATAGGAGAATATCCTTATTTAGGAAATGCATGCTATTATAGTGCTTACGGTTGAAGCATCATGATGTTTGCAACGTATTTTGAAGTGTTCACCAAAAAAGTAGATGCAATCTGACTAAATGGGAAAAACTGCTGAACGCAGGCACTGGATAGACAGGTAGGCCATCAACTACCACTTCCGCATTTCTGTCGGTTTAGGTTTTTGTAATGAAGGTTGGAAAAAAGCTGGGGACAGCAGACACCAAGCCAGAACAGTACGTGTGGTTTCGTATTGCTTTGTCACCAGCTGCTCTTCACCATAGATGCTTACGTTGTCACAGCCCTGGTGCTGTGTTCAGCCAGGCCTGGCACCCACTGAGCACACAGTCACCACTGAATTGTGATGTAGGATTAAGAAGCTACGACTCTGGTCATCTAACCCCTCCATCACCACCAACAGACTGAATCAGGGGTTCTCAAACTGAGGCAATAACCAGGAAATGATGATGATTAACATCTGGGATTCGGAGTGAAGTGACTCTCGGTTATGTAAGTAATCTTTTCAAAAAGCAAGAAGCCATCTTTTCTATCACAATTCAACCGGTTAAAATAGTTTAACTCTGCAATTCCATGAAGCCTATAATTCTTTATTCTGGTTTGTCTTACCAGATAACAGCTCCCACTAATGACAACCAGTATTTTTTTTAAAAAAAGACTGCAATAGCAGATTCAATGCATTGCTGGGAACAGTTAGAAGTGCTTTGTAACAAAAGCAAAGGATTTCTCCCTCACATATAATCTATTTTAGGCTATACTTTTTTTTAAACTAGCTTGATTTTTAAGTCATCTGGCTATAATTTGAGTCCTCCAAAGTTGACAAATCTTGATCAGTAGATGTATGTTTTAAAATGCCCCACTTCACGTGAAGTTTCAAAGCTTATTTAAACTCAAATTTAAAACAGTAAAGATATTGTAGTTCATGTGGAAAGCTCTTTAAGATTTGAATTGTTTTGCGATTGACATCTCGGCTTCAGCTGTGAGAGGGGACAAGAGAGGACTATCCCTACTATTGACAGAGGCAGACCAAAGAGAATCTCTCACCACTGCCCTCAAAGCTCCACAAAACTAATTTAGTGTTTCAAGTTCCCTGATATGACCTGCAGTCTGAGCACTAGACCTTTGTTGGTGCTGTCCTCTGGAACATCTCCCCATCTCCTCATCCAGGAAGCAGCAGAGGTGAAGAGTTCCTCCCCGTCAACACATGGGCACTTCACCTCTGTCATATACTTGTCCTATCTGTTGACTCACTCATCCCCTCATTAGCCTCTAAGGACATTAAGCATCTTTAACCCTAGGCCTAGAACACTGTTAATAGCCCCAAATCACCACAGAATAAAATTTTCTTGCAAACCCTAGTTTATTATTAAGCCTAAATTACTCCAAGGTACTTCTGGGTTAGCTACCTACCCCTCTTATAGCACAAAATCTACACTAAAATATTTTATATTTGGCTCATGATTAGCTCCCAGGGCTCTGGTAAACCAAACAACTTCCACCTCTAAAGTTACATACCTGGAAGATGGAGCATGTACTGACCACCCAAAATCTGCAATTTTAAGCTCTCCAGCTGATCCAAGAAGTAAGTTCTCTGGCTTAATGTCTCTATGAATAACTCTCTTCGAATGACAGTAAGACAGGGCATTTGCCAATTCTGTTATATACTGTTAAAAAAAATATTGAAAGCCTGTGTTTTAGATTTTGTATAACACAAGTTAATATTAGACATCTCTTCTGAAAGGAACACAACATAGATTTAACATGGTTTGCAGGTTTTGGCCAAACACAGTGGCTCACACCTGTAATCCCAGCACTTTGGGGGACTGAGGTGGGAGGATCACTCGAGCCCAGGAATTCAAAGCCAGCCTGGGAAACACAGCAAGACTCCATCTCTGCAAAAAAAATTTAAAAATTAGCCAAGCATGATGGTGCATGCCTGTAGTCCCAGCTACTTGGGAAGCTGAGGCGGGAGGATCGCTTGAGCCCAGGAGCTCAAAGCTGCAGTGAGCCATGATCACACTTCAGCCTGGGTGACGGAGTGAGACCCTGTCTCAAAAAGGAAAAGACAAAACAAAAAACACATTTTGCAGGTTTTGAAGCAAGCATCGTAGAAATTATACATGAGTCTACACACACACACACACACACACACACACACACACACACACACACAGAATCAACTGAACCAATTTATAGTGGTTAGCATGAAGTGAAATTACCCAATGTTTAGTTATCGCTTTGCTAATACAGCTGGCGTGATGTTGAAAGACGGAAAAGACATTCAGCTAGTTACAGCTAGCTCTTAGGTTGGTGCCATTTTAATGCAAAACACAGTTACTTCTGCACCAACCTAACAGTTACACCGCCACACGGCAACAAACGGCCCCGCAGCAAGGAAGTAAGGCAGTGCCGAAGAACTGGTACAAATTAAGGATTCAGGTGTGTAAATACTGCCTTTTTCTTTTTTAGAAAAATAAAATTAACTTTTCAAGTATAGTCAATTCCTTTTTTTAAAACCAAGATCATTCTGTGACAGAAGAATTTGTTTAAAGCTAAAAATTTACTTCAAGAATATCAGGAGAAAGAAATTATCCTGAACAATAAACAGAAACTATTTTTAAAAGCAGTTGCACTGACATATTAAATAGCATGTTAAATTTTGGGTTACACTAAGTCAGCATAGAAGTACACAAGAAATCAGTCCTTTTGTTAATTTTATTTCCTTAAGTTACTATCTTTTTTTTTTTTTAATAGAGATGGGGGTCTCGCTATGTTGACCAGGCTAGTCTCAAACTCCTGACCTCAAGTGATCCTCCCATCTCAGCCTCACAAAGTGCTAGGATTACAGACATGAGCCACCGCACCCTGCCAAGTTACTATCTTGTAAGAAAAGTTTGCCTGGCTGGGCACCTGTAATCCCAGCACTCTGGGAAGCCAAGGCAGGTGGATCAACTGAAGTCAGGAGTTCGAGACCAGCCTGACCAACATGGTGAAACCCTTTCTCTACCAAAAATACAAAAATTAGCCGAGCATGGTGGTGCATGCCTATAATCCCAGCTACTCGGGAAGCTGAGGCAGAAAAATTGGTTGAACCCGGGAGGTAGAGGTTGCAGTGAGCCGAGATCACGTCATTGCACTCCAGCCTAGGCAACAAGAATGAAATTCCATCTCAAAAAAAAAGCAAGAAAAAAGAAAAGTTTTCCAGTCCCTATCTCTAAGATTTAGCCAACAAATCTAGTATGTATGTATGTATGTATGTTATTTACTTATTTATTTTTAAGAGACAGGGTCTCACTCTGTCACCCACCCTGGATTGCTATGGCATGATCAGACCTCACTGCAGCCTTGAACTCCTGGACTTAAGCAATCCTCCTACCGAGTAGTTGGGACTACAGGTGTGTGCCACCATGCCCAGCTAATTTTTAATGTTTCTTTCTTTTTTTTTTTGTAGAGACAGAGTCTCCCCATGTTGCCCAGGCTGGTCGCTAATTCCTGACTTCAGGTGATCCTCCCATCTTGGCCTCTCCAAGTGCTGAGATTACCAGTGTGAGCTACCATGCCTGGCCCAGAATTTATTTTATCATACAGGTAACTGTTTGAATATTGAAAAAATATATTTAGCTCTGCCTAAAGTTTGAGTTTCCTTTCTAAAGCAATTGCTAGACAGGATTGAACGTTATTTTACATCAAAAAGGTTTACTAAACAGATGAGTAAACACCAAATGTCACTGGCAGAAAAAACACTTTTCATTCTTTCAGTCCAAAGCCAGAGATCAAAATTCAGACCACGATAAACTGAAGGCAAATACAAGAAAGCTGCTCTTCTGACTACACCAACTTTGAGTTGCTGATGCTTTAATTGCACACATTAAAGTTCAAGAGGCAATGGACTTCACTCCTCCAGTCATTTCCAGACAAGAAGCTATTAGTTTCGCCATGGCTCTCTGGCACTGCTACTCCCTCCACACCTCACATGTTGTTAGACTGCAGGTATGGATAGGTCACTGACATGTCACTACAATTAGTTTTATTTGAATTCATCTGAAAAGAAAAACAGGTACATGCATATTCATTCTAACTGCAAAGGAATCTAAACAGAAATAATCTTTCATTTTCTTTCAGATAGCTATCTGCTTACACCAAACCTCCATCTAGATTGAAGCCTTGGGTGTGAGGAGAGAAAACAGAGAAGTAGTATCATGTGTAATTTTATACTGTTGGCATAAGGTGAATCTTTTAAAGTAGGATATCAATATCAGAAACTGAAGAAAAAGATTAACTGACCCAAAACAACAAACTCCAACCCACCGTAAGCAAGATGACAAGGAAAAAACCCAAGGGTAAAATGTGAGCACCTGAGGCAGTCACTACCATGAATGAGCACAGATTTCCTTATTGAGCTGTAAGAGAAAGCTGGCCCAAAAGCTGAACTCATAAAGAAATATTAATTGCCAATTAAATAAGAAGCTGATTTGTTTAGCTAATATTTAAAAAGTAAATTAGAGATCTGTTTCTACTTAGGAGAAGCACAAACATTTAAGATTAAGTCTTTAAGTGTAAAACAGCATGTCATTGTTGCAGAGACAAGACCAAAGGGCCATATGTCCATAGTAGTGTGATTTCATCAGATACTGAAAGTAAAATTACTTGATTTTAAATGCCATGTACATCAATGCCAAAAACAAAGAAAACTAATGTCCATGCTACCCAGAGATCTCCACCAAGAAACGGAAAAAAAATCAAAGTAACCACCATTCAACATGCTTTATCAAGCTGTCAATCCAATAAGAAACGGCCCAAATTAAGACTCTTCGACTTCTTAAAACAAGTAATTTTAATCACTTAAAAAAGGAGAGGCACAAAAAGCACAATCATGAAAGAAAAAACTGACACATTTGGACTTTTATTAAAAATACAGCCTGGGAGGCCGGGTACAGTGGCTCACGCCTGCAATCCCAGCACTCTGGGAGGCCGAGGTGGGCAAATCACCTGAGGTCAGGAGTTCGAGACCAAACTGGCCAACACGGTGAAACCCCGTCTCTACTAAAATCACAAAAATTAGCTGGGCGTGGTGGCGCACGCCTGTAATCCCAGCTACTTGGGAGGCTGAGGCAGGAGAACTGCTTGAACCCGGGAGGTAGAGGTTGCAGTGAGCTAAGAACCAAGATCACGCCACCGCCCTCCAGTCTGGGTGACAGAGAAAGACTGTCTCAAAAAAAAAAGAAAAAAAAAACCAACAACCTGGGCAAGATGGTGACACTATGTCTATACAAAAAATACAAAAATTAGCTCAGCGTGGTGGCACCCACCTGTAGTCTCAACTACTAGGGAGGATCACTTGAGCTCAAGAGGTAGAGGCTGCAGTGAGAGAGATCACACCACTGCACCCCAGCCTGGGTGACACAGTAAGACCCTTTCTCAAAAAAGTCAAATAAAAACAGCTTTGTGAAAGACACAGATAAGAGAACGAAAATACAAGGCATGCATTGGGAGAAAATACTTGCAAAACATGTGTGACAGATGACCTGCATCCAAAATATACAAATAACTCTTAAAACTCAAAAAAGCAAAAGATTCCAACAGGTGCCTCAAAGACGATACACAGATGGCAAATAAACACATAAAAAGATGTTCAAGGCTGGACGCGGTGGCTCACGCCTATAATCCCAGCACTTTGGGAGGCTGAGGCAAGCGGATCACAAGATCAAGAGATCGAGACTATCCTGACCAACATGGTGAAACCCTAAAAGTACAAAAATTAGCTGGGCATGGTGGTGCATGACTGTAGTCCCAGTTATTCAGGAGGTTGAGGTGGGAGAATCACTTGAACCCAAGAGGCGGAGGTTGCAGTGAGCCAAAATTGTGCCACTGCACTCCAGCCTGGTGACAAGCGAGACTCCATCTCAAAAAAAAAAAAAAAAAAGATGTTCAACATTGAATGTTGTTAGGAAACTAAATCAGAACAATGAGATACCACCACATGCCCATTAGAATGACTAAAATGCAAAACACTAGGCCAGGTATAGTGGCTCACTCCTGTAATCCCAATATTTTGGGAGGCATGAATTACTTGAGACCAGGATTTCAAGTCCAACCTGGGCAACAAGGCAAAACCTTGTCTCTACAAAAAAATACAAAAATCAGCCAGGCACGGAAGCACATGCCTGTAGTCCTAGCTGCTTGGGAGGCTGAGCTGGGAGGATTGCTTGAGCCAGGGAGGTTGAGGTGGGTGATCACGCCACTGCACTCCAGTCTGAGTGACAGTGAAACCTTGTCTCAAACAAAAATCCAAAGCACTGACATCAAATGTTGGCAACTATGAGAAGCAATAGGATCTCAATTCATTGGTTCTGATACCGTATTGCCATTGTATAATGGTATCAGAATTGTTAATCAGCTGCCCTGTGGGAACCAACTGTATCAATTAGAGTGCTTATGTGAACTTCCTTTGGCCTTTGTCTTATAGAATCCACTCATTTCCAAAGCTGCTTGGATCAACACTTTACCCTCACATCCTTTAGTAAGGTGGTTTCCTACATTTGTAATGCAATGTAAAATAGAATGTAAAAATCACTTTGGAAGACAGTTCCTCACAAAGCAAAATAAAGTCTTACTGTATAAGCTGACAATAGCACTCCTAGATATATGCCCAACTAATTTGAAGACTTATGTTTCACAAAAACCTGCATGCAAATGTTTATAGCCAAAACATAACTGCCAAAAACCAGAATCAGCCAAGATACCCTTCAGTAGATGAATAAACTGAGGTACTTCCATATATTGAAATAGTGGAATATGATTTCGTGATAAAAAGAAATGAACAAGCTCTCATGCCTCCAAAAATATACAGATGAATCTTCAATGCATACTGCTAAGTGCAAGAAGCCCATCTAAAAAGGCTACATACTGTTATGATTCCAATTATATGATATTCTGGAAAAGGCAATAGAGACTGTAAACAGATCAGTGGTTGCCAGAGATGGAAGAGTTGGGAGGGATGAGTAGCTGAGACACAGGATTATTTTTCAAGAGCAGTGAAACTATTCTGTATATCGTAATGGTGGATACATGGCATTGTGTATTTGTCAAAATTCATAGAACTTTACAGCAAACACACAAAAATCAATCTCAGGATATGAAAATGTAAATGATTCCATCCTGGGCATGCAGATTGTGACAAAAGAATCTCACTGCATTACAAATGTAGGAAACCATCTTACTAAAGGGTGTGAGGGTAAAGTGTTGATCCAAGCAGCTTTGGAAACTAGTGGAGTCTTTAAGACAAAGGCCAAAGGAAGTGCACATAAGCACTCTAATTGATCAAGTTGGTTCCCATGCAGCTGGTTAACAATTCCGATACCATTATACATGTATATTGGAATTGAATAATTAAGTAAAAGGATGGTGGGCAGTGAAATCCAGGTTTCTCACTTTTGGAGTGGGAGTTTACAGGTAAACAGGAGGAAGTTAGAATGAAACGTGGTAACGGATTCAAGTTGAAGACATCGGTATGAATTCATGGTATGCTTAATGAAGAGACAGATGGATAAATCTATACACAGATTACTATCCACATATATTTCCTTGCTCTGTCAGCTGAAAGCCTAGAAGTAGTGACGCCACAGTAGCAATGAGTACAAGTGCCCAGATCTTGGTTTATAATAACATTCTCCAAGAAGAGGAACCAGGGCTCCTTGGAGAAATGGTTCGATTCTAGGACAGGAGCAGGAAATATACAAGATGAGGCCACTGCACTCCAGCCTGGTGACAAGCGAGACTCCATCTCAAAAAAAAAAAAAAAAAAGATGTTCAACATTGAATGTTGTTAGGAAACTAAATCAGAACAATGAGATACCACCACATGCCCATTAGAATGACTAAAATGCAAAACACTAGGCCAGGTATAGTGGCTCACTCCTGTAATCCCAATATTTTGGGAGGCATGAATTACTTGAGACCAGGATTTCAAGTCCAACCTGGGCAACAAGGCAAAACCTTGTCTCTACAAAAAAATACAAAAATCAGCCAGGCACGGAAGCAC